TTTCCTGTGTGTGTCGATCTTCAAACACAGCGCCATCTACTACCTTCTTATAATGAATGCAGTATAGTTATATTTACAAGGGTCGAACACCTCGCTTGCATAAGGTAAAATGAAACCTCTACAGCACTGGCAGAAAATTTCAAGGACAATTAGTTTTCATTTTACCCACGAGTAACTCAGTAATAAAAAGTTTTTATACCTTGCGAAGTTTGACCCCTTATCTCTTCTCAAAATCTGAAATTCAAAATGTAATGCTCGGGTTTGTTTGAACTCGAATAAATACACATATAACCTTAGTTGATTGAAATATGTATATTATTAAAAGCAAAGGCGATCGACTTCCATTTTTCTTCACACGATCCTGAATATATTGGTTTGATTCATAGAAATAAATACAAAAAGTGCAATACCTACTTCGTGATGGTGTGTCCACACTAAATACGAGCCTGATCTAAAATTCATCTTTACCCCATAATGAATTACTGGTACACTCTCCTGTTCCAAATATACGCACACCTCTGAATACTAAACCAAATTTTAATCCAACCAAAGGAATAGGATCACTTAATTTAAATGTAAAATCCCCAATCAATGAAGCTAAATAACCCAAGTCCTTCGTTTGGATTTAATTTACATCTATAAATTTAATACAAGTCTGTTTCATAATTTTCACAGGTCGATTCCTTTAGGAATATTAAAATTACGTCGTGTAAAATTGCTTATACAAATTCCTAAAAATAACCGACCACTACTTTATACAAATCAAAACATTAAAAATAATTAATTGGGGTGGGTAATATTCTCTGCTGGTAATCTTATCTTTACTTAGAAAAGGCCCCTTCCCTGAGAAATATGGAAACAGATCGCTTCGATGGTACGGTTGATTTTTTACCAGCAGGGGTAGCCGGTATTTTTCTAGGGGAAGCTTAAGAAGTTTTTGATAAGGACTTCCCTTGTAATTTTTGTAAAAGAACTATCAACCGTAACTTCCAGTTGTGGTCATAAGTTAACGACCATAACACGTATAAATATTTAATTTCGGTGTTTGGTCATTTAGCTTCAGCCATAACGCGTTGTGTGCGTTATTTTCGCTCATTGAGCGTTTTGGATATTTGTGCGTAACATATACAAAATATGACTTATATTATGGATGTTTTACCTCACCGGAAAGCTTTTGTCTTCTACATCATTATGCGTTTAACTTAACTGTTGATTATAACGCCCTTCTACATAGACCAAGTTTTGACGGATTTTGTAATTGACTATATAGCTGGGCATGGGAATTGTTTTCTATAAATTTCAGTTTGTAAGCTCAAATCCTGCACACAGGTGAAAATAAACTCTAGCGAGCACCCTGCTATTGGGGGTATCTATTGAAGAATGAAGATGAATTTTCTGAAAACAAATCTTTTAGAAGGAATTTTCCCGGGCAAATAGTACGGTCGTAAATTTAAACAAAATATTTGGTTATACATATATTCACCAATTATACTTATTTAGGATTGAATCTACCCTCTATTACCTTCTCAACTGTGTACCCTATTTTTCCTACACTATGCACTCTTATCGTTATATTCAGTGGTTTGTTAAAGTATGTCGTTTATTTTTATTCCTTGGGTTGTTAGTTTTCCAAATCTTTATCTAGCGTTGTTTCCGGTATTCCATAACTCTTACCAATTCTCTTAAAAAACTTGCAAATGCAGACGAAGTCGCGATTTTATATGAAGCGCAATAATGTGGATAAATGCCTTAATGAACATTTTAGTTGAACGGAAGGTTTCGTGAGTCAATAAAGAAACATCTCTCTCGCAAAACCGCCGTTCGTAACTTTTTTATCACAAAAATCATAAAAGCAGATAAAAATTCCGCGCCTAAAGAACCTATAATTTTACCACTTCTGATTCTTTAAAGCTCAGCAGTAAATAACGCATCCCCTGTGTTTTATTACAACTCAAGGAAGAACGATCCCACAAAAAAAGCTCGTGTAATTAACGTATTATTTGGAAGAATTAACCGCTTAGAAATTCTTACCGAAGTAAACTGTGCCATAATGCTGCAATTACAGGGGATGAATTTATTTACCATAATTCGTTTATGTAGGCAAGTGCCAACGATAATTTGGTTTTCACTGGAAGAATTCAATTGCACGTAACGCCGGACACATTTTGATGCGAATATACCGATAAAAACATAAATTTCTAGGCGCGGGACACATGCCGTCATGAATATTTCAAGCATTTTGGTGGTTGTGACATTTGGCTGTGTCGCTAATGAACAATTCATACACAGCAATCTGGGAACGAGCTACCTCTAAAAATCGCAAGCGTTTTATAAGATTACGAATTCTTAACGTGTCATCGGAGCAATCTTCTGATGTCTCGCTATTACAGGGTAATGATGGGGTCGACCTACCATTTGTACTCTTTCCAATATTCCTGCATTACGAAATCCTCCGCTTTCCAATTTCCTTATTTATTACTTAACACCTAAACTAGTTTGTAAAGTACGAGGTAAAGTATTTACCTTCCGTATACGCATGTATGTGTATAGGTCGTAAATACCACAACTTCTACAACAAATTACGAAAGTTTGTCTGATACATTTACAGATGGTATAGTTAGTTAGAAAATAACTTATAATAACCCATGCCTGTCAAACTCGCCAGGCAAGTTTATGCAATTTTAATCTGATTTAATGAATGGTTTGAGTTTGGGTACCCCGTTAATTTTAGTAACGCTCGCATTTTTCGCTTTATCGCCAAAGTTCCGCAAGCTGTATTTTTAGAAAAACGTACTAAACTTACATATTTACTGTTGCTTTCTCTTTAGGGGCGAAATACGAACCGGTAATGGTTGATAACGCTTACAAAGTTCACATGAAGCTAACCATCCGAAGTGTTGGACCATCAGACTACGGCTCATATAAATGCGTCTCCAAGAACTCTCTAGGGGATACTGATGGCACCATCAAATTATATCGTAAGTACACACTTCTTTAGCTTAATAATGGACTTTTCGTACATCTGACACTTTACAGATTTTCATGCGGTCTTAGCGAATAGTTTTCAGATGAAAGCGACTTTAAATACCTACACCTTTTTTTTAAATAACCTACGAAGTTACCAAATTTGTTTTAATTGAATATACCGATTACTCTAGAGATTTCAAACCCAATAAAGTACCTACACTTTTTATTCCAGAACTTATAGCGAGATATAATCTCTAAGCATTTTATAGCAATATTGTAAATGTACCTACCTAGGTACTTACTTACATCTACTTTCTATAATTCGAAATCCATTTTAATTGTACAGGGTGACTCACGAGAACCGCCCGCCAGCTACATTGCGATTTCCCAATATTTTGTTTTTCGTTTTAGCTTTCAGTATAGTTAGGTTATACCAAAAAGTCGATACAGTATTCTTATTTTGAATGAAACTTTACATTCTTTACATTGATAAATAGAGACATTGGCTGCTCTACGCCCCGCTTTTCGCAAATTTTGAAGAGGGTCTTTTTGCAGGGCCTAAAATTAGATAGGTTTACGACGGTATGTATTCAGAAAATGCCCTCAATTCAGTAAAAATTTGTAGTCATAATAGTATTTCCGTTTCGGCGGTGTAATGATTTTTCCCCGAGGGCTCGAGAACTTTCTTGAAAAAGCATGCAATTTTCCTTTATCTGTGTATAAAATTATCTTCCAAAAACGTCTGCTTCTTCCAGTAAAAGGTTAGTAGTAGTAGTATTGTCACCTTTACCCAATATTGGCGATATGTAACGTTCGAAAATCATCACACCGTACACAAATATAAAATATACCTCTCTGAAAGTGCATGACACTTCCCATTAGGTAAATCCAAGTGAGCTTTCAGAAAATGTGTCCTTCAGCCACCGGAAATTTTGAATTTAAGAATACCTGATCTCTGGAAACTGGAAATTTAACTACGGTCTCCTCGAAATCCGATACATGACTTTATTCAAAATCAAATTTCCCATTAGAAGAGTCTTTAAAAAAATATACTTTTCGAGCGGCACAAATTTACAAGAGCATTATACTTATTTTCCTTTCTGTCGCCTACATATGATTTTGTCACTGGATTCAAAGTAAAATTGTTTGGGGATGTTATGCTCTTTCAAATTTATGTATGAGTGGCGGTTTTCTAAAAGCCGTGACTAAGGCCACACACGATTCAAATGAGAATATAATTTTGAATGGGCAAACTTTTACTGGGTGGAAGGAGAAGTAAAAAAATGAAAAAAACGTTTTCGCCTTAAGGAAAGTAATTTGAGCGCATTTTCCATGCATTGATCAGTACTTCCCCTGGTACTTTCCGAAAGGTCATATAAGGGACTATCTTTGTGTACAAAAGAAAATGAGTTATGGCATCAATATTCTTATAAATATGACACATGCACACACCTGATGCTTAAAATGTGCAATATGTTTGCCTTTACTACAAGAATCTGTGGTTAAAATTTAAAAAGTCTATAAATACGGAAGTTGACATTGCGCAGTGCACAGGTGTGGTTTTTATAGCATGCGATATGCTCGTTTTTACTATACTTCGTTCACCCAACAGAAATAGTTAAGCCCCTCCTCAACAATTACCGCCACATTTGAATACGACGTTGTTATTGGTGTAATTTTTGAAGCCACAATCACACTTGTAAAGCGAATTGGCCGAATCGGGTAATCTGTCATCTGTCATCTTGCCTATTGCGTTTCTGCCGGTTTTTACGTTTTTACATCTTTACTTGCGTCAATTTGCCATTAATCTCCTTTATTCACACAAAATAGTCTTTATAAAGACTCGTCGGTGTATTCTAAAGATAGTCAGGTGAGTAATTATAAAATTTTTACACGATTTTTACATGCCTGTTTTTAGGGTTATATTATTCGCGATCAAGAAAAGTTATACGCAAACATAAATGTCGCCGGTGCTGCTTTCTCTCCACCGAAAAAACGTTCTGCCAAGCACTTTTCAGTTGAAGACCAAACTGGCATTTTAAATACACGAAGACGAAGACTTACCCCATTTGAAACGAACTACTTTATGGAAATTAATAAAAGAAATAGGTTTTCGGTCAGTAAACCTTTTTTCTTTACGTGTATGTATATTATGTACTTGTCATTATAGATTCGAAAAGAGGTCACGCAATAGTGTTCTTAGGGAAAAGGACGAAATAATTACTTGGAGGCGTCGGTTCTTGCGTGAAATTAGAAAATATCGTGAAGAAGGTAGGAAGTTGTATTTCCTAGATGAAACTTGGGTGAATGCTGGGCATACTGTAAGCAAAGTATGGAAGGACACCACAATCTCACTCCAAGACAGGCATTTATCAACGGGCTATCAACTGGATTGAAAGATCCATCGGGCAAAGGAAATCGCCGTATTGTTCTCCATATAGGGTCCGAGGATGGCTTCGTCGAGGAAGGTTTGCAGTGTTTTGAATCGAAGAAAACAGGGGATTATCACGAAGAAATGACCAGTGAAGTTTTTGAAAAGTGGTTTATGGAAATCGTTACACATCTTGATGAACAATCTGTGATTATAATGGATAACGCTTCATATCATAGCAGGAAAAGTGAAAAAATACCAAACACCAGTACGAAAAAAGCTGATATACAAACTTGGTTAACAAGCAAATCGATACCTTACGAAGAAGATATGGTAAGAGCTGAACTTCTACAGCTTGTGAAACGGGCAGCTGTTACACCAAAATATGTAGTTGATGAAATTGCAAAGGAACACAATCGTACCGTGCTGCGATTGCCTCCATATCACTGCGAATTGAATCCAATTGAACTGATATGGCCGCAAATAAAAGGTGAAGTGGCCAGAAACAACACCACATTTAAAATGAAAGACCTTCATCCACTTTTTCAACAAGCAGTGGAACATGTTACTGCTGAAAATTGGAAGAACGCAATTCGCCATGCTCAAAGTGAAGAGGAAAAAATGTGGCAAATTGACATTTTAATGGACATCGTAGTGGAGCCATTAGTAATTCATGTGGGAGATGACTCGACATCAACGGAGTCCGAATCCGAGTGAAGCGATACAGGATTTAAATTGTTATGTACCTTTGTTTATATTCAAGTGCACTTGTAATTTCAAAACTTTGTGCTGCTGTAATAATACTTTTTTGTACTTTTCTCAATATAAACAGTGTTTTTATGTTGCATATTTACATGTATTTAACAGTTTGCAGGTTTTACTATTTTTGCCACGAGTTATGTTCAGAGAGATAGCGCCATAATTAGTCTTGAGCAAGTGACATTTCAATTTGATTTTTCAAATTTTCCGCTTTTTATAATTTTGTGGTTGTAAAGCTGGTTGCTGCTTACATTGGCCCAAATTTTGTAGGAGTGGCTTAACTATTTCTGTTGGGTGAACGAAGTATAGAAGCATCGGTGGATAAAATTTCAAAGAAATATCTCCATAAATAAGAAAGTTGACATTTCGCAGTTTGCGCAAGCGCACATCTGATTTTTACAATATTAATGGCCATTTCACAGATCTACACATACATATGTATATATATATATGTATGTGTAGATCTGTGGCCATTTGCACCGATAAATTTAAGCGGAGCTTAGCTTACGCGTAGCTGTCATTACGCAGTTTAAGCACGCGATGCCCAGATCTGGTTATTACAATATACAATAATGCTTGTCTTTACTAGAAGCATCTTTGGTTAAAATTTCAAAGAAGTATCTTTATAAATAAGAAAGTCGAGATTGCGCAGACTGCGCATGCGCACATTAATCGCCATGAAATTTCTTGGTTGAGGCGCCAGAGTTATTAGTTACCGAATGCAAAAAGAACGAACTAAAAATCTTGCAAACTGTAGGAGTAGTTAAGCCCTCGGGCAGGCGGGCGAACGGTGAAAGTGGCCATAATAGCGTCTTCCAACAGTTGGTGTTGGAAAATGCGGTAAAAGGTATAAATTGAATACAGTTCTTATACATACAGGGAAAGCGTATTTTTATATGAAGATGACCTATAGCGCGTTCGCACCTCCAAATTCAGTATGGTGCTTATGGACATACAGTACATGCTTGCCAAACGTGACAATGACAGCACAAGGAGATTATGTTTTGTTTTAATACTTCCATTCAATCATATGTCAATTTGACATCAATGCGGTTAGAAACAAGGATAGTATTATCGAAGAATGACGCAAACTAGTAAGAGAGGCAATTAGTCAATAAGACCCCATACTGAATCTGGAGGTGCGAACGCGCTATAGTATATTATTGGACAGTACTGGAGGCAAACGTAGATCAAGTTTGACACGAGTCGGTAGTATTGGTAAGTTATTGATGTTTCATTTATTAAAACAGTTTCTCTGTAACTAATTAATTTAGGCGTGCCCCACGTTGGGCGGGCAAAAATTATTTTCTTTACCCAAATAAAACCTCGTAACAAAACCCTAATCTTCCTATAAACCTTATTTTTTTTAACTAATGAAACATTTTAGGGTCCAGCGGGGTTCCGGAACGCTGGAAAATTTCAACAATGACTTAACCAAAAGTTGAAGTTCCGGACATCCGCAATTCAAATGAAACAGATCTTTAAATGTTGAACTCGAAATGACCAACGATTAACCCGACTCAAAAGAAATTTTCAGTGAGTAATAAAAAGAAAGTTTATCTGGGGTTTCTCTTTACTTTTTCTGGAATTCAATACATCATTTTCAAAGATCGCATTGAACATAAACTTTCATTATACCACACGCATTATAATAACACTAACACATACAAAAATAAAATAACCATTTCTACAAAACAAGCAAATAAACTGAAGGGTGAGATCGCCTTATTGAAACATTTTTCCGTTACAACTATCGAATATAGAAAAAATAAGTCTCAAAAGTAGGTACTTTGTTGTAATACTCCTGGTTTTTGAACCGAAACCACCTGTAGAGATGCGGTAAATGACGAAAACAAAAACCACTTTTCACATAATTTTTTAACGTAAACGCACAAACTTTCTTCTTTCTGTTCTTACATTACCAGCACTGGTTCCAAGACGATTGACATAATTGAAAATGGCAGCTCGGGTACAAACTTTAACGTTGACGAAAGCTTATCTACTATGACAACTGCACGCGTACTCACTGACTCTGTACATCAATCGGAAAACTACTTCTTGTTCCAACTGTTTTTCAATTTTAACTGACTAACAAATTCAAAACATCGGCCGACCGCCGGAAAAATAGTATCAAAATTTACACGCAATCACCTCGTCAGATCGGCGCGTACAGCTTTTTAAGAAGTTCCCGTTATTTCTCTTTGGTAGAGCCCGACGAAAAGCGAGCACTTGTTTACACTGCGTTTCCTTATCTCTGAACCTCACACCTGTGCCATCGCTTATCCCATTCTATCAAATTTTACTTTGATAAAATTCTTTTATCAGGCATTTGTTGATTGATAAAAGACGCAATATACAATATAAACAAAAGCAAATACAACCTACCAAATTATTGAAAAATTTTTCTAGCATAATTACAACCATGACAATAACATTAAATAAAACTCAACAATTATGTGCCTATTTGTAATAAATTCCACCAGATTTTCTAATTAATAATAATAATAATAATATATTTATCCCATTTCTTTTAATTTCTTTTAATACAGTTAAATACAGAGTGCGCCGCTTGTCATTCACATATCTTTAAACGAAAATTACGCTACATATGTGTATTCTTTAGCAACCCAGGAAGACATACCCTTATTGTCGGCATTATTTCAATCTAAAGGGCCTACCCCTGTTTTACATAGCAAGATGTCTCGTCCAGAGGATTCCTCTTGCCTTTGTCAGTACTCTCCGACAAACTGTTTTCGAGACATTCATTTTGACATCACCAATGAATATATTTCTTCCAGACGGAGCCTACGCCCTTTGTGAATACCCTACTTCGGTAATCCACTTTTGAAATATAAGGAATTATTACTGATACCGATCATAAGGAGACGAGGAGGAGGACTGTCGTTGGTAGAAATTGATTCTGTTCTTTGACTTTTTATTACAGTGCCATGAAGGATAAAATTAGTCCCCCTATCCAAAAACCCTATTCGTATAAGGAGTGCAAGGTTCGTTTAGTTAGTAATTTATTTTATTTCAATCAAGATTACATATGCAAAACGGAAATGTCAAAATGATAATACAGATATGTGTAAACTCGTGTGTAAATAAACAATATTGTCAATGACGTTTTTTACATAGTGATGAAATTATCGGACTTTTTTAAACGAAAAATCGTATGGAAAGTGGTACTTTTTTTCCCGATTTTTACTATGCGTTTCCATGGAGTTTAGTCCTGTCTATGAACAATAGCATCCACTTTTGAGTGACAGTAAATCGCGAATGTCAATAAAATTATTCAATTGTGGGTTATTATGGATCACTATGCAAAAAAATGTCGTGTACAACACGTGTTGAAAGTGTCTTTTTTCCATGAATTTGCTTGATTAACTCGGGCTTCGCCCTCATTAATCAAACTACAAATTCATGAAAAAAAGTATCACTTTCAAAACTAGTTGTACAAATAACTATTTCCACACATCTTCATTCATAACTCTATCTGACCATTTGATATCCACATTTCCAGACTTTCTATTCTTTTCTTCTCTCTTTCACCTTAATCTCCACGTTGCACAGCCAGAAAGACACTTCACTAGCCTTTTCCTCAGCTCCATTTTACTAGCAAGCATAATTTCTCGTATATGACATGTGTCCTTTCTCAAATGATGCAGTTCTATGTAGAGGAATTCTCAAATCTTTGTTGGTATGAGTCAGCATTGCGTCATATCTTTCAGCGTTAGTAGTAAACAAAGAGAGATTTTTTTACAAACATTACTAGGGAGTATACATAATATAAGCAGGAATAGTCATTATGCCTAATGCAGTAAAATGTGGTCTAGCAGATGATAGTGGTTTTGCGCCACAAATAGCTCTTATTATCTGCTTTTGAGCGCTATATATTTGCTGAGAGTGACTACTCTAGAGCCCCAGAACATAATGCCATACAGTATGTGGAACTGAACGTACGAAGAGAGAAATCATATGGAATCTCAAATTGATAAATAGGACACAAGATGGCACGAATGCATGGTTGCACTGTCTTGATGAAACAAGGCCTTTTTCGCTAATTAAGGTCATTTCCTCTTGCAAACAATCTTTTACAATTATATTTCAGAAAACTGCCTCACCTTACCGACCGATGCCATTCTACGATGCTCACATTCACCTCCCTTAGTTCATTCTTTGACTGACTGACTCACTTGCAAACTGTTTCGTACGAAAGGGTTAAACCACGGATATCCTTTCGTGAATGTCCTTCGCTGACACGTTCTCCAAACAAAAAAAAATTATAAAACCTTGAATTTCGATTTCGTCGATTTCTAAGTAGAACTTCAGAGCAAGAAATAGAGGAAGTTTAATATAATTATTATGCAGTAAACAAGCAACGTTTATTTAGTATAGCTTGTTATATAATTATACATACTTTTTGTTCTTTTTGCGCTACAAAACTTTACAAAGTAGGTAAATACTAAACTGTCAACAAAAGATTATATACAAAGTGAGATAGATTAAGTCACTTCCAATTTACTGCAATTACAAAGTACTTTTTTTTTACCCATAACCTTAGCGAATACGTTATCGCACAAGCTTAGATGTTATAATCAAAGGTTTTCATGTACCAAACCAAAAGATCCTGTCGAAAAACACCAAACTGAGTAATAATGCAGTTTGCAAGGCATGTAAGTAAATATGCATTAAAAGTGTTTTACAATTTTGCCATCCGAGTTTACCTTCATTAGCGGTATTATTCAAATTATTCATTATCAGAAATGTTTAAGGACAACTCTGTGAATAATTTTATTTGTATGCGCATTTCAATTAACTCAATTTGGACGGCCGGAGTTCGTTTTTTATAAAAGTCTGTTAGATATTCTCAAACTTTAAAATGTAAAAAAAAATTACTGCATATTGTAACTTGCGTAGAGACTTTACAGTTCAACAGATTTCAGCAAATAGTTGCTAGATTTTGGGAGTAGTAATGTATTTCAGAGAGGTAAATTTTTATAACCTGCATATAAGACCGCACCAGCACGCTCTTGCTGTGCTTGGCACGTTTCACGTTCTTCTGTTCTTATTTTACGATT